AAGGGGGGGGGGGAGCAGGAAAACATACATCGAGCTGTGCAGTTCGACCACTCCGCCTCCTCACGTCTTTCTTCTTTCGTCTCAGTGATTTTGCTTCAAAAATACATCTCATATATTTTCAATGTCGTCTAATTTTGGAAATTTCTTGAATGTCAAGGCTTTTTTGTGATCATGCAAGCTTTACGAAATTCTCAATGTGAAGAACGTTTTCTTCTCATTTATCCCGGATAGGTGTCATAGATTAGCCGTCGCTCCAATATAAGCTTATACGCAATTCATCTGTCTTCATTCAAGCATAGGTCAGACATTTCAGACGACGATAAATACTGTCACTTTCCTCACAATGAAAGCATTCCATCCCTTGTTTTGTCTGGTGAGCCGTCGAAGGCTTCGTGGTACTGTAATGCTAGCTCCACGTTTCTTTCTTTCTACTAAATTTTTAGTAATAAACTAGTAATAAAATTGAAATGATAACGTTTCTAAAGTGTAAGCTTGGCCACAATTGAGGATATTTCAGAATATTTTGTGAGAACACTAAACACTATCACTCCGTTTCGTTGCTTCCCTTAGACGAAGTTTAAAATGAGTTCTTCCAGATCTTTCCCGGAACTTCTCAGTAAGGAAGGAAGACCAAAAAACATGTATTGTAGCGCAAGAACATTGTGAGAAACCCGTGAACTTCTTGTTAGATGGAAATTTCAAATCGAAAATAATTTTTTTGCAACATTGGTTTCCACAAAATTGAAGGTGAAGCTCCTGAAGGAAGCCATCGAAAATTTTGCTGATATGTAATTCAGTTCCTAATTAGTCAGTATGAGTCATCTAAGCATGAGGTTAGCAAAGTCAGATTACGAACCTTACAATTAGATTTTGCACCTGCTTGCCTTTTATAACCTTTGGTGGCTTAGGCTGAGTTTTCCATGGAGTGTTCAGGGTAGTAATCTTTTGTAAATTGTTTAAAGCAAACTGACCTCATATTTCGAAAAATTCCGCATGAATTTGGTAATTTTCTTTCGGAAACCCGCAGTGCCTTTTGAAGGATTCACAGCAATTGTTTTTGTGCAGTGCAGAAACCTGTAAAATTCTTTCTGTACTAATCCTATGAAACAAATTCTGAAGGAAGTAACAAATTCAATGAAAGATTCATTTGTTACGGAAGGTTGAATAACATTTTATTATTAAGGTGGTCATTCCCACTTGCATTGAGATATCTTGACCATCTACGATATTTCTTTACTGCCACGAGCTATTATAATTGCATTAACTCTGAGGTAATGAAGGAAAAACTCTCAATCAAAAAAATCGTAAAGGTTCGTAATGACATTACGAATCAGTGGTATTTATTGTTTCCATATATAACTCAGGTACAGCAGGCTTTGAAACTAATTCTGTATTAAAATAAATCTTTCTATATATAACTTAGGTTCTGCAGGCTTTGAAACAGATTCTGTACTAAAATAAATCATCTGTCAGGTGGACTTTTGACAACCTATCAGATTACTTTACTTTAGCGCTCCCATTGAGTTAGTAATAAAGCCACTCATGTGAAAATCTTACGAACAACTCAATATCGCACTTACATCAAATAGAAACCATGCAGATAAAGGAAGACGTTTTTTTGCGTCCGTATTACTCCAAAAATACGCCTATATTACTTCAAAAATACTTTCTTAATGAAATGAAGAAAACCACTGTGACTCACATTTTTCGGCTTACCCTTTTGTTATCAAAAATATAAAACAAACTCTTGATAAGTTGCGCTGATCTAAAACGACTATTTACGATAACCTTGAGGTAAAAGTTCCTGTTTTGAGCTTAGGATGTAAAAACATGCCTCATTTCATATCATGCTAGCCCTAAACATCCGCTCAATTACCAAGTTATGTTAAGGAAGGAAAGATGACTAAATGATTATCAGTCGTTTTATGTCACAACCATAACGTGTACCATTTCGTCTTGAAAATTCGAGTTAAGATTCCGGTAAGTAATAAGCTGTAACAGAACTTTATTCATGTCCGTCGTACAGCGCTTATAGGTTCCTCTTGAGAATCAAAATTTTGCACAGCACCTGTTATCTGAAAAGCGGATCATCATGAATGTTCTTGCGGCACTAACAACATTTGCGCGTAAAAAATCACCAGAAAGCACAGATCTTCAAGATTTGGGCGCCAAAATCTTTTTCACGCGCAAATGTTGTCAGCAACGCTAGAACACTGTAGCGATACACAAACTGACAAGAATATACGAAGTGTTGTACCACATTCCCTTAACTTTGCAAAAGCAGCCATTAAACCTGCTAGAAATGTGAAGTTTCATGAACTTCATAAATGAAATTTGCAAATCACCTGCTATATGCGGCGAAGAATTGAACTTGCATACCGTTTTGCATTAAAAAAATCACTTTTTGCTCGAGGAGTTTTGCAAAATTAAAGCACCAGACTTTTATTACTAAAGTACTTCGGAAAGTTATTAAATACCAGATGTGTCTGGGATAAAAATCACCCCCTACAATATGTAACTCCTCCCACAAAGCCATTCAGCATCATGGCAACGTAATTTCATTCATACCGGGTTAACCAACGATGTCTTAATTCTTCAAAATTTAATATTCGTCATAACTTCCTGCTATTTCTAAGTTTCTGTGATTCTTGTTCGTCTAGTCTAGACTTCGACATCTGCGTTCTAAAGGTGCGATCTCTAGGTTTTACGAAAGAAATTAAATTTATTATCAGACATTCAAGAGCTCAAACTCACTCAGAAAAAATCTAAGAATTTATACCAAAAACATCCCAAAAATTTTGAACAAGTACATTTCCTTGCACAAATTAGAAACTTTGATTTTTTTGGAAGAAGAAAAGTTGAATTTCTACAATAATTTTTTTGCAATAAATTTTCCTTATAATACAGGTAAAGTAGAGCACTTATTTTTCATGTAATGATTCACCAATTTATCAAATCTATTCAGTTTACGCAGAATCTTGCGTAAATCGAACAAAATTCAATAACTTTTCAAAGGGTAGTCCTAAAGATGGTTCAGTATCTCAAAAATAAAGGAAGGTTTGCGCTCCAGGATAGATGTTCGAGGTAACATTCTATAATTTAGACACCACGAAGCTTTCAAAAATGGTCTTTTAAAATTTGCGACTTTGAGTTTGTAGAAAATCGCAGAGGGCCGCTAGCTAGTCTAAAAATATCTATAAAGTATTTTTATACACTAAAAGTCCCTATGTTACTGTAGTAGGCTTCAATCTTTTATGGTGAATCAAAAACAAAAAATTTGTGACAAACAGTCTTTTTGGGAAAAATCCCCTTACCTCAGTACCTTATGGCACACTGTTTAGCTCACCGAAAAACGTCACAATGATCTAATTAGGCACTAGGTTATTATTTCTGGTTCCAAACTGAAAAAAACTACAACGATAAGGGAATTTTTTCTGTAAAATGAATACCAAGAACATTTTCTTTGCATTTCTATGCGAGATCAAAGCCTTTCAAATAAAATATCTTTCGCAGTGTAAGGAAATTTTACAGATTTTTTTAAGCTAGCTAGCGGCCACTTGCGATTTTAGCATCAAACTCCAAACGCACAAAATTGAGTCGTAATTTTGTTCATGGGGGCTAATTTACAGAATGTCTAGCTTAAACATACATTATCGCTCGCGTTTCTCTGATTTTGAGAAACCGATCCATCAGTTTAGGTTTACTCTTAAAGAATTTATTGAAGTTTGTTTGAATTACGCAAGAACTTTTGCGCCAACCCAATATTTCTTATAACCCAGCAAAATCTTATCCTCACTGATTTCGAAAGTCTGATCATAATCTCTTTCCTGTTTTGAGCTAAGCCTCTACGAATACAAGTCAAACCCAAACAAATAAATCATCCTCACTTAGTTTCCTCATACAAGAGAGCCATTGTTTGGCTGTGGTGACGGCAACGCGACTACAGCGCTAATGTGTTTGTAGAGGTTCGGTTCTCAGTCCATTAGCCAATAATTCATATTTTCTTTTTCTTTCATACATTATGACTAGGGATGGGAAAACGAGTAGCCAAAGAAGCAGCTCGTTAGCTTTGCTTCTTGAATTTTTTTGCTGGAGAATCTTAGCGTTTTACGGGAATAAAATTAAGCAAAATTAGTTTCCTAGGAAATTTGGGAACTGCGAATCAAGAATTTTTTCTACTACAAATTAAGAGATCACGTGTGATGATGTAAGTAAGCCTTTTTCTAAAATAATTAATAAATCATGAGCATACTAGTTATATTCACAATGCATACATTTTCTCAAGAAATCTTGGGAAATTCTCTTTTTTTGTTGCGATTTCTCAGCAACCTTTTTCGTTAGCATGGCAAACGATCCTACTTGAACTTTTTGAAGGATGCTCATCTGAATTTTTTTATTTCTGACGATTGCCGAGAAACTGCAATTAGCTTTATCTGTAAGAGAACATACTTAAAGGCTCGTTTAGACTCACTTTTATCAGATTTTCAGTCTCTTTCTCTATCTCAAAAGCCTGTAAGCCTCTATGTTTCCTAATCTTTAGCCTTAGTAAATGAAGATCGTTGACAATTGGATGGACGAGGGGGTCATTAATTGAATGTTGCTCGACCTCTTACGTGTATAGCTATTTACTTTGGCTTTCTTCCCAAGCAAAATTGCTTAATTGAACGTCTTGCATGAATAGGTTTGTCAATGTCGTCACGCCATGACATTTTTGGGTACAAACGTTTCTGCGATAAGTCTATTGCTTTCCAATCTTGCTAAGAAACCCTAGAAAATAGTGTGGATACTGTAACAAGATAGTAATTTTGAAATTCTTTATGATTTACGTGGGCTGTACAATTCCAAAGTTTGTCTATTCACTTCCGCTAAGACAGCTAATCTCCTGTCATAATCTATCACTTGTTTTTCTACCCATACAATAGGCATTAGATCCACTCTTTACCGCTCGTACGATTTTCGTCTGGCAACAGATTAGAAATTGCTCTGATTTTTGATTACAGGTAATATCAAAAATACCGATGAGATCCTTCATGGGAGCGCTTTTCGCTAGTTTGTTGATAGGTTGGTTGATTTTTTATTGATTTCCAACCTTTTCCAAGAAGAATCTTTTAGTACTGATCGCGTTAACAGTACAAGAGCCTATCGAGTCGATTTATGATACGGATCGTTTCGTAGCCAGCGGACCCGTCAGCTATGCCAATTTCCAAAAGAAATGGTCACGACTGGAGCCCAGCATAAGGTATAGTTTCATAGCTTTAGTGTTAACACAGCGCATTTGCGGTGAAGACAACAGATACGCGTAAAAAATGACCACAGAGCGCAAGTTCTTCCAATTTGGCGCCTCATGGCCATTTTCAACGCGCAGGTGCTGTCAGCACCGCAGCAACTCTGTAGTAACTAGATTTGATATGTTGTAAAATTCATAAAATTGAAAAAGAGATAGTGAATAAGAATATTTGATCACGAAAGAAGGAAAAACAAACTTTTTTCTTCATATTTAATATATTCAAAATAGAATTATTAGCTCAACATCTCTCCTAATCCCATCTGATTTAAGATTCTTCAAACGAACGCCACAATCACTGTACGGATATGAGAAGTAAAGATCAAGCAGACAATTCCAGTTTATTTAGAGTTCCCCCCCCCCCCTTATTCAGTGATTGATTTATATTGCATATCAGGTGGCATTACAGATGTCTGATACCCATAAATTATTGCTAATGTACTGTTCAGCATCGCATCAATAAAAGTGTTGTGTGTTCGCGGGCAATGACAAGATTTACGCTTGATTTTATCGCTTCAAAGAAATCGCGTAATTTGCTGTAAATTGAGTCAATTTTACTTACGCAACATATCGTCGTTAAATATTCATGCATGGATAAGCGACTATAAAAACATAATCGACAGATTCTGAGAAGTACAAAAAAGAAGATGGTGAAGCTGAAGCAAAAACGGGGTAATGCCCAACATTTAAATTTCTTAATTATTAAAAAATTTGGGTCCAAGTTATTAGAAACAGACAATAAAGCTCAGTGCCGCATAATGGAGTTTATGTAAGACTACCAAATGAGCAAAAGATTACAGTTTTCTAAACTATCCTAAGGGCAGACTTTTGAGCTTGTACCGCTAAAAATCTCTTTTTATCTGCTACATAGGGCGTCATTCAAAAATTTGAAAAATTTCTCTTTGTACGGTTCCCAGATCAATTATTCTCCCTCTTAATGTCGATGTTTCACATAATAGTCAATCTAAACTTCCTCGTTTCGACGGAAATCGAAGTCTAGACTCAAATACAGCGCTTGACCAGGTGAATTATGCTTAGAATGATTCCATAAATTGCAAAAAACTGGCAAAAGAAACTCGTAGCATGACCATGTCTGCTAACGAATCCTCATTGTGAGTGCAGAAAAATTACACAGTTGAAAACATTCACGTCTATCAGGAAAAAACTATAAAAAGCTACCAAATTCTTACTGGTTTAATTGATATATCTAATCTCACCGTTTTATTTCTGGAAGAAACTGACCTTTTGATGTCATTCCAAGCTGAGCACAAGTAAACAAGAAAGTTGAAGATATAAGGTGCCAAATCTGCCACAATAGTGTAGTTAGTCAAAGGCGGGATTAGAAGATTCTGGAACACAGAGAGAGTTATAGCTTTAGTTCTAACATAAGGTAAGTGTGTTGTGACTTAGCAGATCTCAAATCTAGGAAATTCTTCGTGTTCGAAATCGATACAGTAACATCAGAGTTGAAAAGTCCATGAAATAGTTCTTCAATGGTAACTACGAATCTAGGCAAAATAACCATAAAAGAGATCAAAATGAGACTATTTTTGTGAAGAAAATTAAGTGGTTTTGTGAAGCAAAAATTGCTCTAAAGGGGTTGTGACTAGTTGCCTTCAGTCCATAGCAGATCACAGCAAGGATTATTGAACATCCAAGATCGAACATCCGAGCACACAAGTTACCTGATTGTGAGATTCAGGAGCAATTATTTTCAAACTTTTTAAGGCTTCCGACCCTTCATGATTGTGCTCTAATACCATAAGCTCGAACGCTCTCCTTCATGCTAAATAATTTGATATAACAGTTAATTCGGTGGTAATTCGAGAGGAATAGTTGCACATGTGAATTCAGAATGGCTTGATCAAAAAAGACCAATTTCAATCTGCCACTTTTTACACGACAGATCTTCTCCACAATTCTTTTTTCTGATAACAAAGAGCTGCCGAATCTTCAAGAAGAAATGAAACTCTTATCGAACATGCAGTCTCTATTTTATAAGCGGATAAGGTTTTACTGATAAATGATGAACCTGCGAAGTTTTTTTTTATCTGAATTTCTATTGCTGCTTTTTCTTGCTGGGAAACATTTCCCAATTAGCGCGAATCTAAACCTGGAAAAGTTGTACATCTGTTGCTTAACGCCTCTCTTTCATTTAGCCACACGCTCACGAGTCCTCAAGACAATGAGAGAATTCAAATTCTCCCGCACAATTTTTAAGTTTTGGAGAGCATCGTTTTCCTAATTAAGTGAAGAGGAGCTCAAATAAAGTGCAGTACTAATGCCCCCCCCCCCTGGTTTCCAGAGAATGGCTCGCAATTTTGAAAGTATTTACATGAGTTATAAAAATGTGCAAGCGCCTGATTCATACTTGTAAATAATCTAAATATTTTGAAGTTCTTTTAGAAATTCAGGTTGGCACAAAAATGTTTTTTCGGGGCTTGGCTACCGTCACGCGACCTTTTTCTGAGGTTTTGGTGCTATGGATCCGGAAAATTGTTGGGGAGCATAAATTTCCTCCCGCCCCCCCCCCCCTCCCCCGAGCGAAAATCTCGGTACGTGAAAGGTATCTCGTACCTGTTACGCAGCAAGCTGACTCGCACATACCCAAGGTTCTCTAGTCAAATTTGCACTGCTCTAAAATTTTGTAGTGTTCTGCTATGGTCCATTCAAAAATGCTACACAATGAGCTTGTGTATCTATTTGTCTGTCCACGACAATCCATAGAAAAGCATTGAAAATCTACATCGCTTATCTGAAATGCTGCTCAATTGCATTGTCCCAGGAAAAACTTGTGATTCAAAGGAACCGTATTGTGTCAACATAGAAATTAACTTTTTTCCCTTAGAATTATTCTTTGTGAGCGGCTCCCTGACATTTCTGACACATATGCCATGCACATTGTCAGCAAATTTTCGGTGTTTTCTCTTTTTCGATCGTGCACGTCAGATTCCAAATTATAATCGAATTTCTTTTTTTTACAGCTGTTGAAATTTCTGGAATTACATAGTGTTGTGGTAAGATAAATTTGGTAGCTTCAACCTTTCTAGAAAAAAATAGTGAAAAAAGCGAGAAAAAACTGATTTCAGCACTATAATGAATAATTCATCTGTCTATAGTGTTCTATAATTACGCATAAGATTTTCATAAAGTTCTAAATTAGAAACAGAAAATCTTACGCTATAGGTTTGAATTTTTTCCTCCTTTCTGCTGTAACCAATCTATATTCTAAACTCTAGTACACCAAAAAGCTAAAGATGAAGTACAATATAAGATTAACACAAAGCCGGAATCAAGGAGCAAAAATAGTAAATGATAAGTAGTAATTGATAAAACTTCCTCGCCAAAGAGAGAGCTTCAACTGGCAAAACTAATCAATAAATAAACTTTTTAAAAAAGTTTTTCACAATGTGACAAATCCTATGCTAGCGAAGAGAGGCCCGGCAAGATCTGAAAACGAAATTAGCTATTCTGAATATGCAGGCACAAATTCAAAAACATTTGTACAGATCTATTTTTGAACAGTCAAACAATCCCTTAATTTCATAATCAAAGAGAGGCTTTACTCCTGGGTTTGCGATGACAATACTATTGCTACTGCATTATTATTTACTTAGTTGTAATACTGTAACTAAATTCTACATAGCTTTTTTCTAATGACGGATTACCTTACCCCAAATCCAGTTCTAGGATTGTGCAAGATAATTTGAGGCGATGAAAACAGAGTAGTTTGTTTTTCTCGTCCAATCGAGTCTCCTTGATGACATAAAGCACATGACTGTGGATTTTGAGTGTTTTGCCTGCTTCACATGTTTCAGTTACATCAGTGGCTTTCTCTTCAACGTCGGAAAATTCTTCCCATCATCGGTAGACTTGTCCAGTTTTATTTGCGCTTTCCATTTGACACTTATTTACATATGTACTAATATTGCTTTCATTTTCAAGGTTTCTCCTTTTTTCTGCATTTGCATTAACAAACTCAAGAGCACAAAATGCATGATCCATCTCTCAAGAGATATCCAGAAGCTATTTTTAACTTCATAATCGCTACCAACTGGAACTGTGAAGAAGGTTCTGCCAATAGAGTTTGAGCTAAATTGTTTTCTTTATATTTAAGTGAGTGGCCGTCAATCAACGATATTTTGGTCCTGTGTGCTGACAAGCTCAGACAACTGATTATGTATTTCATGGATGAATTTCTCCAGGAAGGGAGCTAGGTGCGTTTCGAAAGAGCTAGAGAGTTTGATTTATTGAACCCTGAAATCAATGAGCTAATTTTGCTTGGGAAAAAGGCCCAAATACCGGAGCAAATTATAGTCGGATATCGCATCATCTAAACAATACTAGAGGTATAAAACGGCTTAATCAAGCTTCTGCAAGTTCTGAGCGTCTAAAAACGTGCGCTATCGCAGACTTAAGTGCAGCGGATTTTCCTCTTTTTTGAGCATTTTTTCTTGTTTTATTGTCATTTTTTTCAAGCTGAATAGCATATCAGGTAGCTGAGGTCATCGCACTCTAAGAACACACCTCAAACCAGCCTCTTGCATTCGCGTCCACTTTTGGCAGCTATGAGAAGAATTGGCAGAACTTTCTGTACAACCTAATACAAATAGTGTGGAATTGATGCAAGGTGTAAGAGTAATTTTGCTGCTGCATTTATTGCTGGTTTGATAAATAGTTATGACCGTGTAAAACTTCGGTAACCCATAATTGTAAAACAAAACGGGAAAATTTCGTTATTTCGTTGAAGCGCAAACTTTCTGGAAAGTTTACATTGTGATAAAGACACTATACTCACAATGGAAATGTGAGTATAGTGAATTTTTTTATTCTGAGCAACATGAAAATAAACGATAAAATCTTTCCGAAATTCTCAAACTGCTATAATAAAATTACTTGATTTCTGACCAAAATTTCTGTCGTATTTTTATCGAAGTACTCCAACTTCCACTAGTTCCCTAGAACTATAAAAAATTCAAGAAAAGCTTTTGTGTTATTTAATCTGAAAAGAAAAGTTATTATTTACGACTTATTACATACTTACTATATGGTGCTTAATCGTGGATATATTACGAAATTTAGAGCTGTTAAAACGACATACTCCTGCCGCTTTTGCTGTCTATTACTTTCGCAATCTTTATGCTATTTTTCTTCCTACAACGCTGAGACCCAGTCCATCTAAGAATTTTCTCACAGAATTCTCGTGCAAATCTCTGCATCCATTTTCTACACAGCAGGACAACTCGAGAATTCTGAAGGATTTTGCTTTTTTTGAGATTAACGGCGCTTGGCCTTTTTAGACAGATTCATAGATATGAGATTTGATAGTTGTTTTATTAGCAATCTATCCTGACACTGCTAATTGTAGTTTTTGCAACATAAAAAGTTGCGAAGAATATTAGTGCCCCACATCGAGTTTTATCTCTTTAAAAACAAATACTACACATTTTCTGTTCACAAAACTCGTGAT